TTTCCAGTACCCGGAGGTCCAAACATAATTACATTGAAGGTGTTATTAGCGGCAAATAAACTGACAATAAGATCACGGACGTCCTCTTGGCCACTCAAATCCCATAAATTGGGCGCTTTAATTTCGTTGGGTTCACGAATCGCAAAATCTGACTGGTCCGATTCTGTGCCGCTCTGTGACATTTCGTCCATAGCTTTCGCAATGTAATCTTGATAACTCTTCAAGGAAAGATAGTTCGGCGCTAGTTGCTTGATATTGTTGTTTTCTATTGCTCGTGATACTAACCAACCGATTAGCGATTTTACCTTTGTAACAATCCCCACTTCATCGGGATCTATATTTGCGTTGGCGTATGCCACCAAAATACTGGCGGCGTCTCGCCATAAAACCGCTGCATCTTTATAAAGGCCAGTTTCGAGTCGAACGGCTTCCTTTGCTAAAGATAAAACCTGTTGAAGCTCCTGAGCCATGTCGACCTCCATAGAGGGATTGTGCGAAGATATTGCGGCCATAATTCAAATGAACCTTATAACTGTTGTCCGGGTCGAATCTAGTGACATTTGCGGTGTATGCCATCAGTTGATAGAAGGAACTTACAAGTCCTCAGTCGGAACACATTTGGAATGTATAGGTGAACAAAATATAGATGCAGTTGACATCAATGTATTTCGGGAACTTATGGACCTTTCCATCTATAACAATGTAAGAACTCATTTTAACGTCAAAGTTTTTACCGGTCGTCGGGCAGTTTGCCAAGTATGTTTATGTTTTTCCATGGCAAACCCTATTATCGAAAAATGGGATATAGGACTCGAACATTATCAATTGGACGAAACTCTAACGCTAACGAAGAAGGAATACGCTCACGCATTTTGTTGTTCTAATTTCAACATTACTCTCGAAAACCAAGGACCGCAGCTAGAGAAATTAAACTACTGGGCAGCCGTATTATTGAACACTAAATACGTTTTACAAAAGGATCTGTTTTTGATCATTCACGATCCTAATACATTGGATCATTGTATTGGGATCGTACGTCGGACCATCTCCAAGTTACCTTGTTCGATGCGAGATCATGTTTGGGTACTTGATTGGTTGAATTCCTCTAATTTACAAAGCGGAGAAGGTTACACAACGTTAGCCACTCGTTCCGACGACAATGCTCAGCTTAGGACAACGGATGATAATGTAGACGTGTACATAGCGTTCTCTACCAGCTTGGAACAGGTACGAGTGATGGATTATGTGAAGCTAAAAGTGGTTTTTCTTACGACGAAACGAAAGAGAAACGAAACCGAACCGGCTGACCCAAATCACTACAGCGAATTGCAATTTAGAAAACTTTTGAAAAGTACCATACTTAACGCAAGTTGCCCCGACGATGAAGAGCAGCTCGAAACAAACCGTACCGAAGATTACAACTCTACATTTTTCAACGGTCTCCTGCAAGCCGATCGAAAATCGCCCAATTGTTATTTGGCCAGTTCATTTCAATTCCTCGACCTGCCCCACGTCGATGATGATAGACCATTTTCTAGAGCAGAGTCCTATATATTCGAGTTGGTGAAAAAACTGCTTTTGCAAAACGAGTGTTATAAAGAGTTGATATTCTCAATTGTAAATCGTCTGCCACGGTTGGTACCGTTCTTTAAACCGTCGCCGAAATGCGGCTCGTTTCCATCAATTGATTCTAGCGAGCAAGACTTGAAGTTTCTGAATATGTTCGCCGTAAGAAAAAAGACGACTCAAAAATCGTCGTCATCGCTGCTTAATTCCTTTGCCGTAATAAATAACCATAATCGAATTATCCTGATGATCGGCGACGGAGGCTTTCAGTTCTTCTCTTCGTTGCAGTACAATAAATTTACGGTAGCTCAAGTGTACGAGGAACCGCTCAGTCAATATTTTCGAGAGAGCTTCAATTCTTTCTTATCAAATTTTAGTAGGAATTTCCAGAACGCGGGCTTTTACGAAATTTTGTTCCGCCGCAATAAGTGGACTTTATTGAGTAGATGTAATCTCGATGGTAGTAACCAAAAATTCCACGTATCAGCAAAGAGCGACGTCTTTGAAGCATTAGAGGAACCGCTTTCACATACGAGCTTTTACCAAAGGAGCAATAAAAATGGAGGCTGGTTAAAGTGTCAACCTGAGAGCTTCTATAAACTTGCATCGGAACTTGTAACATTTCCGGTGATAAATCAACACGTTTACGTTCATGGAAACAAGACGAAAGTAAAGGCACAGGGCGACAAGGCCGTTTGCTCCATATGCTTGTACAATAACGAAATACGTTTTTTGGTTGTACGTAACTTTGAAATCAAAAATGAAGACGACCTGGCAAAGCATGCAAAGGAGAGGACAAACTCAACGGGTTGGTGTTGCTGTGATCGATGTGCGCCCTACGTATACAATCAACAATTTTTACGAAACAAAGCCAAATGTATACGTATTGAATAAATCGCTCAATGGTATTTGTATATTTTTCATTGCCCTCTTCAACGATAGTTTAACAGACTTGTATCGCCATAATCATCATTGTATGCCCTACCCGTACAATGTATTAGTCTTACCCAACAAAAGTACTTAACAGACTTGTATCGCCATAATCATCGTTGTATGCCCTACCCGTACAATGTATTAGTCTTACCCAACAAAAGTACATGTTTACGTTAGGTATTTGAATAAAACGCTCAATGGTACTTGTGTATTTTTATTTACCCTCTTAAACGATATCGACAATGTTGAGCTTCAGGAGCTGAACGATTTTCAAATAGGAGTCGGGTTCATATTTGTCATTGCGTATTTGTTCAAATTTGAGACATTTGTACCCGTACAATGTATTAGTCTTACCCAACAAAAGTACATGTTTACGTTAGGTATTTGAATAAAACGCTCAATGGTACTTGTGTATTTTTATTTAATTTAATATCCGATCTATGTTAAGATCGAAAATGTATCCAGTATTGCTCTTGATCATATTCTGTTATAGTTTCATTTTATGGTTGATGCGTCCTAAACGATCTTTGATCATTCGCAGCGTCTGGTTACCGAAACAAGTTGATGGCGAGGTTTTTTGTAGTTGGTTTCGTAATACGCAACATAACGACCTGCACTGTGAAGTACTGTGTGCGCTTTGGAGAGGCATTAAAGACTCAAAATTAATTAGTAAAGTTGTCGATAATATTCCGAATTCGCCGACCAATAAGCAGCTTTACATGTTCATCATTACGGCATACCGGTTGCATAAACTCTTTGCAAATACGCATCAAATAGGCGCATTGAGTTCAAAGTTACGATCTATTATCCTAGGGGTTGGCTCTGGGCTGAATCGATATTAAAATGTCTGAATCCTAAAATGGAGGACTTGAATTTAGGACCCGAATTGACTATCAACACCAACACTGAAGATCACTCTTTCTTTATCCGCGGACAAGTTGGATTTGAAATCGAGACTGGGAACATGGGGCCAAAGGACAAATGGGGAGAACTTATACTAGCCAACCTGGATAAGACTTTTCCAGAGTATTTATGTTACCGTCGTAGTAAAGACCAACACAAATATCAAAGCTTATGGCATTATAACAAACCGCTAAACGAATTAGACGCTTTCGAAATTATTCCCCATTTGTTGAGTATGCAACGCAAATCGGGCCTAATGTACACGGCTTGGGTATGTGGTACGCGTATGTCGGGTTTTTATCCCGACCCAATAATTGTTTTTGAGAGTACCAAGTCATTTAATTTGCCCGTTCCTTTCACAAACCTAGAGGATTATAAAGTGTTTTTCCGTCCATGCGAAGACGTTGAATATGGCGCGGCTCCGACAAAGGAAGTCTGTTTATTTTCTTACGAAAATTGATTTCGGGTGCGATTGCAGCAAAGTTACATTACCGTTGATATGCTTTATGGTAAAATGGAAACAGGTTCAACAATTGAAACGGGGCTCCAAAACCTCGACTATTTCGTTTTCCTAAATCACCACATTTACTTTGACGATTCGGTACCGGTGGAAAAGTTGAAGGGAAACTGGAACGCGTTCAATAAGCAAACCATTATTGAAGTCAAGAAAGCACGTTTTTTGATTAACAGGTCGAGTGGATGGATTTTGAGAGCTCGCAAATAATTGTCCGTTCCAACCTCAGCAGTTCACGGGACATCAAAATTCGCAAAATTATCGCTGCAATGTCTCCCGATTCTGTTATTCAGAGCGTTGCTAATCATTTTTATGTCAATCATACAGTGAAAACCGTTCTATTGGGAGACGCGAATTGTAACGGTCTTTATTACAACTCCGCTAAAGATGAAATTACTTTAACGATCACGGCCGAGCTCGAGGAACTAGTTAGGTATATAAACTCAATCGGCATCGAAGAATTTGATCTCTTCATTAACAATAGTTTTATTCAATCAGAAGAAGAAACTGCTGAAACGGCCAATCAAAAGTCTAAAACGCTTAGCTTGTACGTTAATCTGCAAGTGACTGCTTGGTACGAGCGGTTGTTGTTAAAAATTCGACCGTCTGCTTTCACACCAATTAGTAAATTATTTGAGAACGTCATAGTGGAATTGGGAGACACATTTGATGGCTACTGTAAACGCACACCCAGGCGCCTGCTCTAAAAGTGTTCTGCTTAACTTGGCCGACGGAGCAATTGTTTCCCTGGATCGACCTACGCAATCGCGACAAGCTTACGCCGAATTGGACGGCGTTCAGATTGAGCTACCCATTTTTTTTGCGATTGACGAAAACGATGAACCCCAACGCATCGATTTGCCGATATGGGCGCAATGGATTAAAAAGTCGCCAAAGAAATTCAAATTCCCCTGCTCAACGTTTGAGGCTAAAGACGCTAAAAAAATTCTCACGAAAATTCAAAGATCGTTGCACAGAGATCAAGTGGGACCCACAGTACGTCTCTTACCCAATACCAACTGGGGCCGATGCACCTACGTTAACGAACAAGGAGAAGCTTTTGGATACATGTTTTCTTAATAAAATGATGTACATGCTCAACGTTTTGGCATCAATCGTTATTTCTAAACGCTGTAAAACCCAAGGCAATTATCGATGTTTGTTCTGTTCCGAAACTTGGGCTCGGCTCGGTTCAGCCTTAAAGCATCAACTTGTACATCTTCGGCGCAGCGCCGTCGATAACATTTACGATTTTTGCCCGTTCTGCAATCAAGAAAATAAGTGGAGCTTACTGGAACGTGGGTCAGTTTGTGAGCTGCACGTCAAGAAATACTATATAATGATCAAATCCATGTACGTTTACTTTAAAACGAGAAACACGAAGAATACGTTAGATATGCCCAATTATCTAGAACTATTATGCCGCCGTTGCCAGGTGCAGCTTGTCAATGTGCCAGAGAAGAACAAGAAAGCTACAACAGCACCTGCACAAGCCGATAAAGCACAAGATTCCTGTAAACCTGAAAAAGTATCACAACCCAAAATTCGTACTGCTGTTAAATAAAAGACAAAGGTAGTTCGATCAAATGTCAATTTTCATTGCAATAGTACCCTAAAGAGAATGCGTGTTAAATAAAAGACAAAAGTAGTTCAATCAAATGTGTATTTATTTCAATCCAAGCATTAGAAAATCTTTCAACATTCGTTTGAGTAAAGGATTATCGATACTCAAAGGAGAAGTAAACGTTTCACAATGATATTTTTGACTCTGGCCTTTTTCTATCATGTATAGGGCAGTGTCAACCCATAGCGAAAAGGAAGTAATTGGCGGTTCATTAAAATCAGTAAACGTGCCTGTAGGTGCAATTTTGTCGGTTATTCTTCGAAAAATAAAAGCATGCATGTGTTTACCTTTGGCTGATCTTTCATCAAAAACGCACAGGAAAGGTATTTCATGTAACGAGACAAATTGGAAACCGCCATTTTGAATAACTCTATCAAGAGAGTGTTCGGAGCCAACAAATTTATAATAAACGTGAGACCTGCTTTCAATGATCGGTTTATGGTATTTAACCAATTGGTTCAATACATCAAACGCTTGGAGGTACCTCAACTTCAACTTCTTGGGCCCGTTCACTTTTTCCAAACGAAGTTGCCAATCATCGTCGGTGGTAAGGTCTATTATCGGAATAATAGTAGATCTGGGCGATACATCCAAAATGGGTCGCTCGCCTGTATCGTTTGGCGGCACATATTCATCGTTTGATTCCTCTTTAGGTTTTAGCTGCACGGCTTCGGGACTCAAAGGTGTATCGTTTGGCGGCACATATTCATCGTTGAAAAACTCGTTTGTTTTTAGCTGAACCACTTCGGGACACAAAGGTGTATCGTTTGGCGGCACATATTCATCTTCAAAACTAATTAGGGCGTGCTCTAGTCGTTGAAAAAGGATTTCTCGGCCATTACTTGGCAACGAATAAAACTTGTTTGATAGGTAGTGTTGAAAATCTCCAAATTCTCGACAGGACATTGTTACTTTATGCGTATCGCTTCGATTCAACTATTCGACTGGTCTATCTATAATGAGCTGTTCATGTTTATATACAGTCGATGCTGAATTTACAACATATGTGGGTTTATTTTAAAATAAAAATGCAGAAACAAGGACTTTTATTTTTGCATGTTTACATACTATTGATAGTTCCTGCACATGTCTTTAACTTTGGTTCGTATGCATTATTAGACGATTTATTATATGCAAGATGAATGTTGTTTCTCCATTCCTGCCATGTATTGAACTCGATAACATCGTCGATGCCTTGAGAGAAACCCGGAAAAACGAATGGTTTCCCAATGCTACCATCATCGTTTAACATAAAACATCCATCTTTGGTTATTGCATCTACAAGACCTTCTCCTGTCCACGCCCGAGTTCCGCGATAAAGTTTAAATTGTAACGGTGTATGTAATGGATCCGGGGTCCATATTAACCTGCTACGAACGATTTCATTATCGTATAAGTTGTCGAACGACCATTTAAAAGGCATCTGCGTTTCTCTAAAGTCTAGGTAAAATTTATCATTGAAGTATTTTTCCATCAGTCGTGTTTGACCCAAACAAGTTACGTAGTGGTTATCGTGATATTCATCGAGACTGTCAATAATGACGCCGTTATAATGGTCTCCATCGATTTTCTCTAAAATTACTAACGCAGATTGAGTGATAATTGTATAATTCCGTATAGAAATTGTTAGTAGGTCCTGAACATATTTTTGCTGAAATTCTATTGATATTTGGATGTTATCGGACGAGATGTTGTAAGTTTTTTCCACTAACGATACCCACATACAAATCGCAATAACGCTATCTGGTTTTTGGGACTGTTTCAAATGCATAGCGTATGGTTTGGCCTGAACTGTAGTTTCGGTGATATATTTCTCAGTACCGTCTGAGTCTTTGAATCCGCTGAAGGGTAACAGCTAACATCAACACTTCAATGGTCCGAGTTTCCCATGGTCTTTTTGCCTGCGCTTGGGTACTTTATGACGTCCATAAATCCATAATCCGTCTGGGTACCCCAATGTACTGTCAAGTACTGTCGTCAGAGTTTTCGACGATAACATAGATTTTAATCGTTTAATGGCCGTTTGCACCGACAATTTTAAGGGAAGTTTAACGATAACCAACGTTTAAAGTGACATTTTTATATATAATAAAGTCACTATAAACGTTGATTATCGTTAACCTCCCTTAAAATGTTCGGTGCAAACGGCAATAAGAAGCGTATTATGAAACGTCATAGCAAAGTAGGTCACAAAGAAAATATGTGTTTTTTTTATTAAACATTTTATATTGTACATACACACATTTTTAAATAATCGACATTTATTTATTATTATACCTAGATAGGTACTAATAATGATTTTTCAACAAGCTGGTACTAAGTGCTGCTGGGATTCTAGGATGAGTGTTCGACGCCATTGCCAAGTCGGTGACAGGTGAAGTCACTGGAGACAAAAGTTCTGATCTCAAATCTGGTAATGGGACTTTGTGTACAACTGGGACACTTAGTTACTTTTTTATTATTGAAATAGAGTGCATGTTCAAGTTGGAAAATTTCTTGATAAATTTCAGTCTCAAGTGCTACACCGATATTTTTTTTTATCTCCATAGGTATTCAAGGTGCGTTCAAAATAGTATATTGTTTTGTTAGGAGTAAAAGTGATACTTTTGTGACAAGTCTGTAAGTTTGCCTGCCGAACGCAGTGAGGCCGGTAATACAGACAAGTCACAAAAATAGCTTTTACTCCGAATAGAACAGATATTTTTTCTTCAAACCTGTCTGAATAATAGAAAAAATCAAATATTAATGATGTTACCGAACAATCCACCAACTAGGTATGACAAAATGTCAATCTTTGCGTTGTTATGGCAAATATTCACGTGCGGAGGTAAAAGACTTTTACTTCCGCTCACGAGCGGAGGCAAGTCTTTTACTTCCGCTCACGAGCGGAGGCAAAAGTCTTTTACTTCCGTTGTCTATGGTAACCGTCAACTGACGTAAAAGTTTAACTTTAACATCATGAAATTAGTAGATAAATGTCAGGTTTTCTGACGTTTGAAGAAAAACTATTTTTTTTTTCGTCCTGTGAATTTTTGTTATCCAAATAGTGTTTGAAATTTTTGTGAAGCTAATTTTTTAGAATTTCAAAAATTCAAAAACATACAGGGCAATTCAGTAAAAAATGACTTTTTTGGCGCACCCTGTATATCTATGACGCAAAAAAAATATAGTTGTAGCGATTAAGATCGTTGCAATTAACCAAGAAATTTTCCAATTTATACATGCCCTCTATTTTCAATAATAAAAAAGTAACTGGGTGTCCCAGTTGTACACAAAGTCCCAGTACCAGATTTGAGATCAGAACTTTTTTCTCCAGTGACTTCACCTGTAACCGACTAGGCAATGGCGTCGAACACTCATCCCAGAATCCCAGCAGCACTTATATTACCAGCTTGTTGAAAAATCATTATTAGTACCTATCTAGGTATAATCTAATAGTACAACAGAGAAACTCAAGCCAAATATTTTCTCATCAGTTTATAATCTAATACATATATAAAATTCTCATGTCACAGTTTTAGTTACCTTCCTCCTCCGAAACGGCTTTACCGATTTTTATAAAATTTTATATGTATATTCGGTAGGTCTGATAATAGGTCTTAAGCTATTTTTTACACCCCTAAGTGATAAGGGTGGTCTATCCCAAAAAAATTTAATTTTTTTTTGCTTCTCACCACTACATAACCCAACTTATTTTTGTTTGCTCATTCAACCGACGTAACAGTATTATCTTATAGCATTTTCGGCTTTACTGCTGCATTCTCTATTTGGGCGGTGCTTTGCTACTAGATATTGTTCATCGATTTTTATCTGACACTTTCCGTATGAGGAGCGAGGGGGTGGAAGCATATGGCAAAAACTGGTATGACGTCAGGTGACCAGGTCACATTTCTTTGGAGTATCAGATAAAAATCGACGCACTTTACGTTAACACAACATTTAATAGGTATTTATTAATACAGAGGCGGTACGAAGGTCACCGGGTCAGCTAGTAATAAATAAATGTCGATTATCTGAAAATGTGTGTATGTATGTACAATGTAATATGTTTAATAAAAAAAAACATACTTTCTTTGTGACCTACTTTGCTATGACGTTTCATAATACCTACGCTTCTTAAACGATTAAAATCTGTGTTATCGTCGAAAACTCTGACGACAGTACTTGACAGTACATTGGGGTACCTAGACGGATTATGGATTTATGAACGTCATAGAGTACCCAAGCGCAGGAAAAAAGGCTATGGGAAGCTCGGACCATTGAGGTGTAGATGAGAACACTTAGCTGTTACCCTTCATCGGAGGTAGTTAATATAAAGGCTTTCTTTCTTTTCTCTTGAAGAAGCTTATTGTAATTTTCATAAATAGATCAACCTTTATTACCAAAATTAAATCGTGGTTTTATTAATAACTTAAATTATAGAGTCGATAACATCTGATTAGGCGAATTACATCGATCACCGAAAAAAGTCTGTGTTTAAAAAGTTTTATTTTTAAAAGTGTTGTGGAAACAGCAAAACAATCATATTTATTTTTTATGATCACAGTGGCAACGTTGCAAAAAAGCCCCCCGCCGTGAAAAACTTGCAAAATGGCGCCGTACCCAGTCTGGTTGTTTGTCGCTAGGGGAAAAAAAAATGCATTCCCTCTCTTCTTCACTTCGCAGTGTGATTTGTGATTTTAGTAGTGTGGTTTCACTAGCAGTAAATAGTGCGTAAAAACGTCTAGCTCTATACAAGTTTGAACCTGCTCACTTTTCTCTAATTATTTAATTATTCTCTCTAGTTGCACCCTTGTGCAGTCTCTCTCTCGCTCTCTAAATAAAAAGACCCTTTTTTTTTATCTCTCTGGCTGCTGGCTTGAAAACTCAAGTGATATAATATCGCGTAAAACCTTGAGTTAATCACACTCCCCTTTTTTAAGGGCTCTCTAAAAATATGA